CCAGCTACTCTCCCCCAGGGTCCACAACAAAAGCCTGGTCTGCTGGGGCGCACTAGCTGCACCCCCCCCAGCAGACCAGGGACACGGGGAGCAAAGCCACAGCGGCAGTGGGGTGCCACGCCTCTGAGGCTTTGCTCTGGCAAAGCCTCAAAAGCGCGGGAACCCGCCCGGTGCCCCTGGTCTGCTGGAGACGGTCTCCAGCAGACCAGGGGCACCGGAGCAGCTTATGAATGGGGCTTTCTCGCCCCGACTTCCGGGGCGAGAAAGCTCCGTTCGTAAGTGCGGATCCGACGTAAGTCGGATCCGCGTAAGTCGGGGACTGCCTGTATCAATAGATTTCACTTTAAAATGGCAACCAGGATTACTGAGTATCCCCAAGTGTGTGGCCATCAACCTTCTAGCAAAGATGCTGCACTTCATTCCATCTGTACTATTCCCACTGCCTGGAAGACTGCTTCGCTCTTTCTGGAAAGTGTCTGCCACTACTAGGGGTTACGGACAAACATTGTATCAGACTGGGGACCTCAGTCCTCCTCCCAACTCTGGAGGATATTTCTCATCCCTTCCTTCTTCCACTTATCACCTGCAGACTAATAGGGGCACAGAGAGAGTCAATTAACTTTTGGAGAAATCTCCTCAGTGTGTTCTGAGTTACTGGAGGATAACCATGCAATGCATGCCTTGACCCAGCAGCCCATTATGTGGAAACTATAGCTCTTTCCTCTACTTCCATCCAGACTTACCCATATGTTTCCCACTACTGATCAGTGGATTTGCCTTCCTCCTATGTTGGAAGCATGAGAAACCACTTGCAGTCTCCCAAAAAAGCCTTTAAGCACCATATGGACCAATAATGGTGGGCTGGTCCCAATATGCCTGTCGGGGACAAGGTGTCGCTCTCTGTCCAAAATCTTAAACTGAGCCGTTCATCTGCCAAACTGGATTATTGATACTTGGGCCTCTTTCAAGATTATAAAATGGGTAAACCAAGTGGCTTTCTGATTATAGCTGCCCAGGTCCTTGAAGAGCCATCCTGTCTTTCAGATCTCATTTTTAAAATCCTGTACAAAGAATCCATACCCAAATGGCTCCAATCTGGCACCACCATTCATAACAGTTCATTGATAAGTGAGGTACTTGTTCTACCAAATCCTTGGCTTTTGGCAACTTAGGGGGAGACTTTAGGACCTGGTTGACTTAGGCTACGTCTAGACTGCAGCGCTTTTCCGGAATACCAGACATATCCCGGAAAAGCAATGCCCCATCCAAGGAACGCATCTGCTTTTCAGATTTTTTTTTTTTTTGAAAAGTGGACACACTTTTTCACTGTACCTGTATACCTCGTTCTACGGCGCATAAGGGATGTGTCAAAAGAGCAGGTTTTTCCAAAACTTGGTGCTGTGTAGATGCGCCAATTTTTGGAAAAGATTCTTTTTTTTTTTTTTTTGAAAAGTGGACACACTTTTTCACTGTACCTGTATACCTCGTTCTACGGCGCATAAGGGATGTGTCAAAAGAGCAGGTTTTTCCAAAACTTGGTGCTGTGTAGATGCGCCAATTTTTGGAAAAGATTCTTTCAACAGAAAAGCAGAAAAAGACTTACCTTTTGTAGTCTAGACATAGCCATAGAAGGCTAGGGTGAGGACAAGTGGTGTGGGAACTGGTAAAGAATATGCATGCCTTGTACCAGTTGTGAGAACTCTATAGGAAAAACCCAGAGAAACGAGGCCCATAGGAGGTGCCCTGTCAGAAATCAAGGCCTGCTGCAGATTCAGCATCTGGACAGCCTAAGGAGCACAATTGGCCACTAGTAAGTACAGGGTGGTCTACACTGCCCTGCTGGTAGTGAGGATAAGCAGAACCACTCTTATGCCTAGTAGCAGCAATTCAATGGCTGCTCAAAGTATTTGCCCACACCCTGCTCATCCCTTGAACCCAGCCCACCCCAGCCTTGCTTCACTGCAGTAATTCCATTCTGACTTTATCTCAAATTCCTGACTTCATAATTTGGTTCTGGTTATGATCTTGGCTCCTATTCCTGGCTATTGACTCAGGCTCCAGCCTCTAGGAAAGACTGCACTTGTTCCAGCTATTAACAGTAGAAGCTTCTAGTGAAGAGTAAAAATGCTGTAAATCACATAAGGACTACTGCCTATAGGAAATTTAGTTGTAATTGTGGCATGTGATTTCTATGCTACTGTTGTATACTTCAGTAATTTCTCTGTGACATTTATCATCAAGATGAGATCATTTTAAAGCCTTATCATTCTGCTGTTCCATTCATCATCATGATAATTAATACTGTTGAAATGCTTTATATCCAATTATAATATTTAACAATGTCCTGGATGCGAACTAATTGAATGGATGGTAATGTCTATTTTATCTGTAACTAGCACATTTACCCAGCATTGCTTGGGTTCTTGAGGGGTTTGGGGTGTGTGGCAGGTGAAGGAATCAGGGTTGGGGGATGAGGAGGGGCTCTGGGCAGGGGACTGTATTTGTACAGAGGTGGGCAGGGAGGCCAAGGCCTTCTCTCTGAGATTATACCAAGGCTGTTGCCCTTACTGTTCTTGTCAGGGAGTGAGAGCAAAGTGC